CTTGCTGACATACACCATATTGATTCTGTCTTCTTACAATTGATGTTTACATTCCTTCTTACAATTGATGTTTAGTTTCTTCTCACTTTCCTTTACTTGGCCTCTTCCTGTTGCTGACAACCATACATTCTGTCTTCTTACAATTGATGTTTAGTCCTTTCTTCTCACTTTCCTTTACTTGGCCTCTTCCTCTTGCTGACAACCATACATTCTGTCTTCTTACAATTGATGTTTAGTCCTTTCTTCTCACTTTTCCTTTACTTGGCCTCTTCCTCTTGCTGACAACCATACATTCTGTCTTCTTACAATTGATGTTTAGTCCTTTTCTTCTCACTTTCCTTTACTTGGCCTCTTCTTCTTGCTGACAACCATACATTCTGTCTTCTTACAATTGATGTTTAGTCCTTTCTTCTCACTTTTTCCTTTACTTGGCCTCTTCCTCTTGCTGACAACCATACATTCTGTCTTCTTACAATTGATGTTTAGTCCTTTCTTCTCCATTTCCTTTACTTGGCCTCTTCCTCTTGCTGACAACCATACATTCTGTCTTCTTACAATTGATGTTTAGTCCTTTCTTCTCACTTTCCTTTACTTGGCCTCTTCCTCTTGCTGACAACCATACATTCTGTCTTCTTACAATTGATATTTAGTCCTTTCTTCTCACTTTCCTTTACTTGGCCTCTTCCTCTTGCTGACAACCATACATTCTGTCTTCTTACAATTGATGTTTAGTCCTTTCTTCTCACTTTCCTTTACTTGGCCTCTTCCTCTTGCTGACAACCATACATTCTGTCTTCTTACAATTGATGTTTAGTCCTTTCTTCTCCATGTCCTTTACTTGTCCTCTTCCTCTTGCTGACAACCATACATTCTGTCTTCTTACAATTGATGTTTAGTCCTTTCTTCTCACTTTCCTTTACTTGTCCTCTTCCTCTTGCTGACAACCATACATTCTGTCTTCTTACAATTGATGTTTAGTCCTTTCTTCTCACTTTCCTTTACTTGGCCTCTTCCTCTTGCTGACAACCATACATTCTGTCTTCTTACAATTGATGTTTAGTCCTTTCTTCTCACTTTCCTTTACTTGGCCTCTTCCTCTTGCTGACAACCATACATTCTGTCTTCTTACAATTGATGTTTAGTCCTTTCTTCTCACTTTCCTTTACTTGGCCTCTTCCTCTTGCTGACAACCATACATTCTGTCTTCTTACAATTGATGTTTAGTCCTTTCTTCTCACTTTCCTTTACTTGGCCTCTTCCTCTTGCTGACAACCATACATTCTGTCTTCTTACAATTGATGTTTAGTCCTTTCTTCTCACTTTCCTTTACTTGGCCTCTTCCTCTTGCTGACAACCATACATTCTGTCTTCTTACAATTGATGTTTAGTGGCCCTTCCTCTTGCTGACAACCATACATTCTGTCTTCAATTTTCTTTACTTGTCCTCTTCCTCTTGCTGACAACCATACATTCTGTCTTCTTACAATTGATGTTTAGTCCTTTCTTCTCACTTTCCTTTTACTTGGCCTCTTCCTCTTGCTGACAACCATACATTCTGTCTTCTTACAATTGATGTTTAGTCCTTTCTTCTCACTTTCCTTTACTTGGCCTCTTCCTCTTGCTGACAACCATACATTCTGTCTTCTTACAATTGATGTTTAGTCCTTTCTTCTCACTTTCCTTTACTTGGCCTCTTCCTCTTGCTGACAACCATACATTCTGTCTTCTTACAATTGATGTTTAGTCCTTTCTTCTCACTTTCCTTTACTTGGCCTCTTCCTCTTGCTGACAACCATACATTCTGTCTTCTTACAATTGATGTTTAGTCCTTTCTTCTCACTTTCCTTTACTTGGCCTCTTCCTCTTGCTGACAACCATACATTCTGTCTTCTTACAATTGATGTTTAGTCCTTTCTTCTCACTTTCCTTTACTTGGCCTCTTCCTCTTGCTGACAACCATACATTCTGTCTTCTTACAATTGATGTTTAGTCCTTTCTTCTCACTTTCCTTTACTTGGCCTCTTCCTCTTGCTGACAACCATACATTCTGTCTTCTTACAATTGATGTTTAGTCCTTTTTCTTCTCCTTTCCTTTACTTGGCCTCTTCCTCTTGCTGACAACCATACATTCTGTCTTCTTACAATTGATGTTTAGTCCTTTCTTCTCACTTTCCTTTACTTGGCCTCTTCCTCTTGCTGACAACCATACATTCTGTCTTCTTACAATTGATGTTTAGTCCTTTTCTTCTCCCTTTCCTTTACTTGGCCTCTTCCTCTTGCTGACAACCATACATTCTGTCTTCTTACAATTGATGTTTAGTCCTTTTTATCTCACTTTCCTTTACTTGGCCTCTTCCTCTTGCTGACAACCATACATTCTGTCTTCTTACAATTGATGTTTAGTCCTTTCTTCTCACTTTCTTTTACTTGGCCTCTTCCTCTTGCTGACAACCATACATTCTGTCTTCTTACAATTGATGTTTAGTCCTTTCTTCTCACTTTCCTTTACTTGGCCTCTTCCTCTTGCTGACAACCATACATTCTGTCTTCTTACAATTGATGTTTTTGTCCTTTCTTCTCACTTTCCTTTACTTGGCCTCTTCCTCTTGCTGACAACCATACATTCTGTCTTCTTACAATTGATGTTTAGTCCTTTCTTCTCACTTTCCTTTACTTGGCCTCTTCCTCTTGCTGACAACCATACATTCTGTCTTCTTACAATTGATGTTTAGTCCTTTCTTTCACTTTCCTTTACTTGGCCTCTTCCTCTTGCTGACAACCATACATTCTGTCTTCTTACAATTGATGTTTAGTCCTTTCTTCTCCTTTTCCTTTACTTGGCCTCTTCCTCTTGCTGACAACCATACATTCTGTCTTCTTACAATTGGTGTTTAGTCCTTTCTTCTCCCTTTCCTTTACTTGGCCTCTTCCTCTTGCTGACAACCATACATTCTGTCTTCTTACAATTGGTGTTTAGTCCTTTCTTCTCCCTTTCCTTTACTACCGTCTGTAGGAGTTGAAAATATACATTCTTGTCTTACACACCTCTATAATTTTTTTTTATATTTACTGAATTTATTTTCTATTCGTACGCAGTCGCTTTTAACCCTGTTCTGAATTATTATTCTAATATCCTTCCCAAATATGTCAAGGTTGCTAACAGTTTCAACAGTTCTTTCTAACGTTGACTTTCACAGAACGGTGACCGCTTAGATCAAGGGTCGGCAACCTACGGCCCGCGAAGGCATTTTGACCGGCCCGCGGGCCTGATTACAATGACTCTATTTTTAACATGAGAGACGACCTTCAAATGAAATTTGTTATATGTCATTTTCCATAGAATGTCTACACATCTCAGTGCACTAAAAATATTAGACTATCTGCCAGTAATCTTTCATGAAACTTATTTTACCAAGTTGCGTTGCCTACGTTTAATGTCAAATAATGAATACATATTTGTTATGACCCTTGGCTACATTAAAAGATAACAGCCGCGAAAGGAACGATAAAGTGAAAGAGTCCAGGGAAGGACTGACATGCGAGGTAGCAGAAATCTAAAGACAGTTAAACATACGCGCATTATACATACATGCCCCATGAATGTGTTGGTGATACTGCATGTGTACGTAAGTAAGTGTATATGTTTGCAACTATTTGTACTCGTATGTATGAGTATATGTGCTTCGTTTTTGTTTAATGCGTGTGTGTGTGTGTGGTTCGTTTGTGGAACAATTTTCAATAACAGTTTCAAACCTACACGTCATAATTTCATCCATTTCACTTCGGTTGATTTGTTTCACTTTGAAGTATTTTGACGTTCCTTGAGGAAAAGTAATTTTTGTTAGGTATTTTTTTAATTTTAGATTTTCTTTTGTTTTTCTAATTTCTCAATGTTTATTTTCATTATGGTTTTAATATTTAGGTTGACAGGGGTCTCTATATGTAATTTTCCTTAATTTTTCATTAATGGCCTTCGTCCGGCCCGCGACCCGTCATTATGACACGATCCGGCCCGCGGGGTCGAATGAGTTGCCGAAATTGGCTTAGATAATAGATTATTTTATTGCCAGGCATATTTTTTGACGCATACATTTGATTAGGTTGGTGCAAAAATAATGACGTAATAATGTCGTTTTGAGCGTATTTTTTACGTCAAAAAACGACATCATTACGAAAAACCTTATTTTTGCAAGAAAAACCCAATACGCCTTCAGAAAAGAGGATATTTATCATAAACGATATATCTACCTGAGTGTCTTCAAATTCACACAGACATATTGCTAATGGACAAAAGAAAAATCTATTATTTATTGTGTCAGAAGCTCTTTCAATCTTTTATGTATATGTGAGGTTGATACAGTCAGAACATCCAACGATAATCGGACATAAAACACAAGAAAATTGTTCCGTAATATTAGGTTGTTGCAAAAATAATGACGTAAGAATGTCGTTTTTTGACGTGAAAAGTACGTCAAAAACGACATTCGTCATTTTTGCACCAACCTAATAAAATAATTTCGAATGATCACACTATGCTAGGCGCTCATTCCTATAACCTCTATACGGGTTACACGCACTTGTGAAAGTCAATATTCTTAATATACTACTCATCGATTGCCAAATTATCTTCTCCCCCTCCACACCTTCTGTCTGATTAAATCTACAGGAATATCGAAATCAAATATGTGAATCGTCGTTGAGATTATTGTATATTTCTAACCGGCTCCACGGAGCAGCGTTCAAGCTTAGGTGAAAGCAAGGGTGTTAAATGAAGATTTTGGGAGATATCTTACTCCTGTCAATTAGAAAATTGATATAACACTATATTCCTTTTTCCTTGGTCTTGTGTCAGTCTATGATGTTATTATGAATATAAAACATCCGTAAGGAAGGAAGGTTAGAGGAAAGAAATTTTAGAAAGAAACTAATACTAAGTAAAAAAAATAGAAAGAACATGAAAAAGAAAAAAAAAGAAAAGAAAGGAAAAAATCAAAATCAAATCAAAATAAATAAAGGAGAATGGAAGAAAGAAAAATGATAATTTCTGCTCGTCGAAGAAGTATCAAAAAGAAAAAGAAAGGTGAGAGCAAAACAGTTAGAAAGAAAGAAAGAAAGAAAGAAAGAAAGAAAGAAAGAAAGAAAGAAAGGGGAGATGTATTCTGTTAAAAAGAAAGAAATGCAAGAGGAAAACAGAAAGAAAGAAGGAAGGAAAGAAAGAAAAAAGTTGAGATGAAATCAATTAAAAAGAAAGAAATGTCAGATGAAAACAATAAGAAAGAAAGAACGAAAGAAATAAAGAAAAAATGATGAGAGGATATCAGTTAAAAAGAAAGAAACGGAAGATGAAAACAGAAAGAAAGAAAGAAAGAAAGGTGAGAGGAAATCAATTAAAAAGAAACACGAGATGAAAACAGTAAGAAATAAAGAACGAAAGAAAGACAGAACGATGTGAGGAAATCAGAAAGAAAGAAAGGTGAAAGGTAATCAGTTAAAAAGAAAGAAACAGAAGATGAAAATAGAAAGAAAGAAAGAAAGAAAGAAAGGTGAGAGGATATCAGTTGAAAAGAAAGAAACGGAAGATGAAAATAGAAAGAAAGAAAGAAAGAAAGGTGAGAGGTAATCAGTTAAAAAAGAAAGAAATGCAAGGGGCAAACAGAAAAAAAGAAGGAAAGATTAAAAAAAAGGAAAGAAAGATGAGAACAACAGACATTTATGAGAGTATCGTTCAGATATAAACAGAAAGAAACGAAACCTTAAAGAAAATTATTTCTAAGGAAAAACCAACAAGAAAACTGAATAAAGAAGAAATAATAATTGATTGAATGAAAACGGAGAAGGAAAGAACAATTCAGAACAAAAAAAAACTGTCAGATGAAAGAAAAATAAGAAAATTCCAACTAAAAGCCCAAACACCTAAAAAAAAGGGGGAGGGGGATTGAAAGAAAGTAAAACGAATGAATTTTAAACACCGAGAGAAACGATAGCCGAAAACGTATTGCGATTGTTAAGCAGGCAATGTTATTTGGTTTTGGACGAATGAAGCCGAGAAAAAGATAGGAATCAATGTCCGTCAAACGGAAATGAACAGAGAGAGAGAGAGAGAGAGAGAGAGAGAGAGGGAGAATCGCACAAGAAATGTAAGAAGACTAAAAAGTTAAAAGACAATACATAATTAACTTTGTATGGAGGAAGGGTGAGGAAGGAGAGGCTCTTTTCGACAACGCCGAATAATGATAAAGGGAAGAAAAGTCAAGGGAAAACCCTGCTTAGAATTGCCAATGTCGAACATTGCTGCATAATGAACTCACTGTGGTCTTTTGAAAGGCTTCGTTAGCGATTTAATGAATACAGATCGAAAAGTAACAAAATAATAAGACTCAGGGGAAATTAGCGCGTAGAGCGCATGCGCAAGTTTGAGCATGCGCATTAGGCAACCATTATATATTCTTCACTTTGGCAAAAATAATAGACATTCAAAGCGAGACAAGCAAGATTACTTAAACTTGCCCAGTTCATCCGAAAACATTTTAAGTTTAATTTCAGTTTCAACACAGTGGATTGGGATAGAACTTATCTTCTGCTTGTTGTATAGACGACTGTTAGGTTTTTTTTTCTACTTACGCTCGCAGTATTTGCCAGATTCTTGGCTATTTTGAGTTGAAAGCAGTTACGCTTTTTTTCACCGATAAGACTGTATAATAATATTAAGTTGATTAGTATTGGGAAAAAAAGCGATGACAGAAGCATGGTGTTAGGACGATAGGTAAGCGGTCAGAAAACTGAAGATAAACATGGAGGATCATGGATCTAGCTGTCAGGGAGTGGATGTCATTTTACAAGCTGAATACAAACTTCTAAAAAAAAGTATAGAAGTAGTTATATAGCTTGAGGAATCACAAAAAATTGCAAGAAAAGTGAAAAAAAAAATGGAACCAGAACATGCCGGTTGTAAATGTCATTATTATCCGACTCGGATCAGACCAAAGTAAAAACTACTCTCCCGAGATAAGAACTGATTAATTAGTTTTTTACGGCTTATCAACCCTTTGTAGGTTACTTAGATTCAAAAAATATTTTTAGATTGTAAAGTTTGAGGCAGATAATAATTATTTAGTGTTACAAGGCTTGCTAATTAACACATAGCTGGGAAGAGAAGAGGTGAATTCATTCTTTTCCCAAGGGTATTTGCGCGCAAGTGAATATAACGAACCCGATTGGAATTGGAACTCGGCTCCCTGATTAGCAATTTAGAGATATTATCCATGCCACCAGCCGCACATCCAAGATTACAGCAGTAGGTATTCCTAAGCGTTCGTCCAACTTGGTATTGCCTCAAGTTGCTTAAATTATTTGATCGTACGGGAACTGAGGTTTCAGCGTGATATGGACGTAAACTCTCATGTAATCAGTTGTAATATTTTTATTACGTCTTAAAAATATCAAATTAATCTTGTAAATAAACAATCTAAGTAAATACGTAATGTGTAGCATTTTTGTAGTTATTAAAATTGCAAAGATAGCTTTTAAAAACAAATATTGTCGAAAGAATATGCAATAATAACGATGTCAAAAGAAAAACCGTCCTTTTGAAACAAGGTATTTTTTTGCAGGTACAAAGGTCAAAGTTTGCCTAAAATTCTTTATGTAGAATTTGCAAAAAAAAGGAGGTTAAAAAGGAGGATATAATAGAACGTTACCCTACCTATTTTTAAATCCCGTTGTCATAATAGAATTTAATGCAATTAATTTAAAAGACAGAAACATGTAAAGACAAGGACGATTTAATAGAATAATGGAGAGAATGAATGATGAACACAAAATGGTAAGAAAAGATCACAGAAGAACAGAATACTCATTGCTATACACTGCGTGCCAAATTATTATCGAAATAACATTTTTCTAATATTTCAAAATCAGTCCAATCAATTCGCAAAAAATTTTTACACAATGTTGGCAACACTGATCTGCGCAATCACTGAAATTTTCATACTGATCTGCGCAATGTAAACAAACTGGCGCCCTATTTGTTATCAACACGGTGATTTGACCGTGCCAAATTATTAGAAAAGTGTAAGATTTTAGTGAAAATATGGGCCTTAAAAGCAGTTTAAGTGATGCTGAAAAGAAAACTATCACCTCAGAACTCTCAAAAGGTAAATCTACCCTAGAAATTTCTAAAATAATAGGGAGGTGTCATCAAACAGTGAAAAAGTTCACCGCCGACCTTACACAAGTACGCAAAAGAGCAGATAAAGGCAAGCCGAGGGTTATTTCACGTCGTCTCATGTCACGACTTAAACGAGAGGCCACGAAGAACCCTGGACTTACCAGTCAAGAGTTTTTCAGTTGTATTGGGGATCCTACTGTGTATAAAAGTACTCGGTGTCGGTATCTGAGGGAAATAGCAAGAACAGTCAAACCTGTATCGAAGCCTCCGTTGACGAGAAATCACATTCAAAATCGATTGAAATGGGCCGAGGATAATATGAAGATTGACTTCTCTAAAGTTTTATTCAGAGACGAAACTCGAGCAATACTTGATGGGCCAGATAGATGGTGCAAAGGCTGGGTAATGAACGGACAGAATCGCCATCAGCGTTTGACACGCCAACAAGGCGGTGGAGGCATAATGATCTGGGGTGGTATCATTGGAAAAACATTAGTGGACCCATGGAGAGTACCAGATGGCGTCAAAATGACTGCTGATGCATACATAGCGTTTATGAAAGAGCATTTTGAACTGTGGATGAAAAGGCAAAGAGTTGCCTTCAGAAGGGCCATTGTTTTTATACAAAATAATGCTCCCTCACATGCTGCTCACAAGACTACTGAATATTTGAAACAGTTAGGCTTCGATGGACCTCGAAGAATGAAGTGGCCAGCAAATTCTCCGGATTTGAACCCAATCGAAAACCTTTGGCGCATCATGAAACGAAGACTGTACACCAATGGACGAAAATTCAGGAGCAACGCTGAGTTGTGGGAAGCAATTCTTGACATATCTCGCGGCATTACAGCAGATGACATCCTACAATTAACAAATTCTATGGATCGTAGATTTCTTCAAGTAATTTCAAAACAGGGAAAGCACATTCCCTATTAATTTGTTTAAAACTGTTCCTTTGTTTGTATCTGTTATTAATTGTTTGATTACCTTATTTATTAGCTTCTTTTGATCATAGACATTCACGTGCAACATTAATAAACGTTTTGTTTGCTTAATTCTGGGAATTTTACTAAACCTTTCTAATAATTTGGCACGCTGATAACAAATATGGTGCCAGTTTGTTTACATTGAGCAGATCAGTACGAAAATTTCAGTGATTGTGCAGGTCTGTCTTGCCTACATTGTGTGAAATTTTGAGAGAATTGATTGGACGGTTTTTGAAATATTAGAAAAAAGTTATCTCGACAATAATTTGGCACGCAGTGTATATAAATATATTTAGAGGTCGAATTCGTAAGATATAGATGCTAAGTAAATTATAGACCAAACATATAGAATCGCCTTCTGGATTTCGAATAATGGACGTAAAATTGAATTTTATGTAAAATTGAAGGTTGTGTACCACTTACAAAACAAATTTATTACTTCACTTCAGGCCAGAGAAACGTTTTCTTCCTAAGGAACTTATCTATAGGTAAATGTATCTACGAGTCGAACTCGTAAAATATAAATGCTATGTAAAGTATAGACTAAAGATTTGGAACCACTATCTGGATTTCGAAGAATCGACCCAAAATTGAAGGTTGCCTACCACTTTCAAAACAAATTTATTAGTTCACTTCAGGCCAGAGAAACGTTTTCTTCCTAAGGAATTTATCTATAGGTAAATGTATTTACGAGTCGAACTCGTAAAATATAAATTCTAAGTAAAGTATAGACTAAAGATTTGGAACCACTATCTGGATTTCGAAGAATCGACCTAAAACTGAATTTTGTGTACTGCTTTTTCTATGTTGGATTTGTTTGGCCCCTTTTTTTATTTTGATTCTTGGACTTTTGAAGTTGGAATTTTGATTCTGATTTTTGACTATACTTTTTTTTGCCTTTTGAATTTGTGGGACTAGATTTTTGATTCTTAATGTCTTTACAGAACTTGTTCTTTTGGACGTGTGTTAACAGACAAAATTTTTCTCTCTTTTTTTTTTCAAGAAAAATAGGCTTTTCAAATTCGCTGTTATTGCTCTTTCTAACATTGATGGGGGTTTCCTTTCTAACCTTTTGTTAAATGTCGCCTAAATATTCAATATCATGATTTTAATATTATTTTCCATTCTACTTAGAAGGGAAAATAATGTTAAAATCATGATATTGAATTTCATGCGGTAATAATTTTAGTTGCTGCTGCTGATGTATGACTTCAAGTGATATGCTTTTTTATTATTTGGAACAGTTCTTTGTTTGTGATTCCGTAGCGCAGATGAAAAATCCTAACATTCTAGCCTTGATAGATTTTAAAATCGTTTATGCGCTCTTCTAGGGAATAATTTCTTCACCCTCTAGCCTTTTTCCCTTAGCCATGTTAAATCGAGACCCATTATTATACTGTCGCTACATTCATATCAATTGTTCAGATGAACTCCGTTCTTTAGTTCCACTAGTTCGGCCCTTTACAGCTAGGAGCCACCGTGACTTTTCCACAGAGCCGAATCACCCTCATTTCCTCAGTGTTCCTAAGAAGAAAATTCCAGTCAGGTCTTTCCACAAAACTGCCAATTTGTGGAACAGCTTCCTTCGTGAGTTCTTCTCTGAACGCTTCAGTCTTGAATTATTCATGACAAAGGACCATTGTTATCTATCCTCCTTATCCTTATAATTCATATTCCCTACTCTCTCCTATTTTACTCATATTACACACCTCATTCATCAACATCGTTTCAACAGTAACCCTCTACCTGGAGTGGATCTCGAGTCTTGTATTGGGAGAACTTAGTAAAAAATATCTGGCAATATGACGGTAAAAAATCTGGCAATATGTTGGTAAAAATCTGACGATATTGTGATAAAAAGTCTGGCAATATGGCGGTAAAAAATGACAATATGGCGTTAAAAATATCTGACAATATGGCGTTAAAAACATCTGGTAAAATGATGGTTAAAAATCTGGCAATATGGCGGTAGAATGCTGGCAATATGGCGTTAAAAATCTCTGGCAATATGGTGCTAAAACATCTGGCAATGTGGCTGTAAAAAATCTGGCAATATGGTGGTAAAGTTAAAATAGAATGATGGAAGCATATCTGCAGTTTTCTTTCTTTTTTTTTAATGTAACCATTGGCTACCATATCAGAATTGATTAAATCGCCGTCCATGGAAGATGTTCTTCGTGGTTAAATGATACAGAGATGTCTTATTCTTAACTCATTGTATTTACTTTAATGTTAAGAATGTATTCCACATGGGAAACTGTGACTGTCAGAGATTGGGAACTAAAATATTTAATCGAAACACATATATAATAAAAGACTGAATGCTATTTAATTTTCATCACAGTACAAAGAATCCTGTTCGTTTTTCATATTTTTATCCAGCTGCTGTATGTGATATTATCAAATAATAATAATAATAATAATTCAAAACTCTGACATCGTTATTGTGTTGTGCTGAGGAGTGGCCATAATGCTTTGCACCTGATATCAATTAACTTGTGTTATTAAAATTTATAACTGGTGCAAGCTTAAGAATCATATTAGAAAGAAAGAAAGAAAGAAAGAAAGAAAGAAAGAAAGAAAGAAAGAAAGAGGCCAAATGTGCAAAGAGAAACTGATTATTGCGTCATTTACCAGTGGCGTTTTGGTGAATTTGCTGCAGAGTCAAATAAATAAATAGGTCTGGTATTCAGAACGTTCATATGTTTTTACAATAAAATAATGAAGAAAACATTTACTGAATGAAATAGAAATGTTACTCGTATATCAACAAAAATGGATTTATATTAGGTTCTGATATAATCTATATAAATTCTTAATGAAAGTGAAAGTATATATAATTTGAAATAGATAGATAGATAGATAGATAGATAGATAGATAGATAGATAGATAGATAGATAGATAGATAGATAGATCGTGTAGACTGAGATAGACTTAGATAAATAGATAGATAGCTACAAACAGACCGAGATAATAGTGTAGAAACTGAAAAAGACAGCCTTAGATAGATAGATAGATAGATAGATAGATAGATAGATAGATCATGTAGACTGAGATAGACAAACTTGAATAGATTATGTAGAGAGTGAGACAGACATACATCGATAGATAGATAGATAGATATGAACAGATTGAAATGATAGGGTAAAAGCTGAACGAGACAGACTTTGATAGATAGATAGATAGATAGATAGATAGATAGATAGATTCTGTAGAAAATGTAAGCAACATAGATACATGGTGTACAGACTTAAATAGACAGACATATATCTTGTAGAGAATGAGATAGGCATATATATATATATACGGTGGAGTAATGGATAGCGGCTTGGATTGAGGAATCGCAAAGCCGAGTTCGAATTCCAGTCGAATGCATTACATTCACTTACGTGCTAATATCCTTGGGAAAGGTATGAATCCTCTTCTTCTTCCTCCAGCTATGGGTAAAATAGCAGGACAGACTGGGTTCTATAGCCTTGGATGGCAACTGGTCTAGGAGAAGGACAACTCTGAATTCAAAACCTGCGGAGGGTCGTTTGGGAACCTTGTCGCACTTAGTGCACCAGGTCTCTGTATTCGTCCCTTCAAAAAGTGTGGATGGTCCTGCACGAGGCCTTCACCACTATAATCAAATCTCATGTGCCGGCGTCCGGGCTGTCGGTTTCCTGGAAACTGATCTGCTTGACCCTCATACGTCGAATCTCGACGGGAGAGTCGATTATATATATATATATATATATATATATATATAGAGAGAGAGAGAGAGAGAGATATGCGGGAAAAGTTAAAATTATCGTGACCCGACTAAGAAGCCTTTTACAAAGATCTGATGCTTGGTCAGATTTTAGGCAGTGGAAAGAGCCAAGGTATTTCTATGTCCTCTTTTAATATAAGTTCACTTCCATTTCACATGATATATGAAAGATAATCTAAGCAGGGGAAGACATTATCGACTGAATGAACTAGAGTGAATGGATAGCAGAAACGCTGGAGAGCAAAGTGCCAAAATTTAATAAAGGCAATATAATTTCTTTTTTCGTTTTACGTGCCATGTCCTTTCAGGACGTAGGCGATCATGGCTCTCCACATCATCCTATCCCTTGTAGCTCTCAATAAGTTTCGTCCCTCTGCTACCTCCCCCAGGCCACGTTTTGTCATCCACTTGATTAAGTCTGCCAGGTATGTCAGGCAATACTTTTCCTTGTCTCTCTTGCCCTCGATTCGACTTGTGAGTATCAGATTCTCCTGGTACTCCTTTCTCGTTAAGTGTCCCAGAAATTTCAGCTGCCTCTTCCTGATGTTAAGTATAAGCTTCCTCCTTGTTTGCATCCTCTCCAAAACTTCATCGTTTCTCACACACTCGGTACATGATATTCTCAGCATCCTTCTGTAGAACTATATCTCATTTGTCTCGAGGCTCTTCTTCATCTTTGAGGAGACCGTCCAACATTCGCTAATAAAGAAGAACAGATGTCATGTAACAGCTCAGTATTCTTTCTTTTTTTTTGCTACCAAAGAGATCCTCTTGTCTCGCAATACTCTGCTCAGATTTTGGAATGGGTCCTTGGCCATTGAAATACGTCTACGAATCTCAGTGTTACACTTACTGTACTCTATCGCTTCGAGAGGAACCCAGACGAGACTCTTCAGGAGTTCATCGGACAACATTAGTCCGGTGAATTCCTGAAGGACGAATCGCCTCACTAATAAACTTTTATCCCGTTTGTCATACCATTTCGCCCAATAATTTGGACTATAATTCCTCTGATCCTATCTGTCCGATTTATTCTCCATGAACCAGGACACACATTACTTTTTCTCTTACGGTGTTGTTTATTTCATTAAATTTCAGGGATCAGTAATAAACAAAAGTTAATCAAAAACGAACAAATTATATATAAATTAACACTAATAATTAACAATAATAACCTTAAACATGCAAAGAAGTGTATTGTTGAATCTTATTTCTAATGAATACAATAAACTGTGTAATTTGTACAGATAATTTACTGATTTTAAACACACTCATATATATATATATATATATATATATATATATATATATATATATATATATATATATATATATATATATATTGCTGATATCCGCCTGACTACTGACCAGAGTGATTGCTGGATGGTGCGTCTACGAAACTAAAAGTCAGGATGTTAAATTTAACAAAAAACCAGCTAAGGGACAAAATTTATATTTGTATTAATTATATATATATATATATATATATATATATATATATATATATATACTTTTGTGGTAGGTAGTGATAGAGTCTCTATGTATGACGAAGGCAGTTGATAAATTGTTGTATATAAAATCCATTTTGTTTGATAACGAAAAGCGTGACATAGGCTTTTTTATGTTCTCATATAATTACCCAATATTGTTCGGATATATAGAAATTTAAATGTGATATTCTCAATTTTATATACATATATATATATATATATATATATATATATATATATATATATATATATATATATATATATATATATATATATATATATATATATATATATATATATATATATATATATCAAAGTGTTTCGTCCGTGTGAAAGGTCTTCATATAATTCCTTTTGTAGTCAATTATCCAAAAATATATATATATATATATATATATATATATATATATATATATATATAAATGTATATATGCATATATACATATGAATGTATATATGCGTATATACATATGAATGTATATATATTTGAATAAACTTATATATATATTAACATATATTACTATATATATTACAATATATATATATATGAATACGCACATACATATTCATATATATATATTCATATATATATATTATTCATATATACATTTATATATATATTATATATATTTTCATATATACATTCATATAAATAAATATATATATATATATATATGTATGTATGTATGTATGTATACTTTGTGATAGATTGTGCAAGAGTTATTGCGATATGGATAGAATAATCTTTTTTGAAACTTATTTTGTCTGACCCAATTTAAAGTCAACCAATTAGGAAACCTGCTGCGATGTTCTTTAGCTCGAAATATAAGATGATATTTATCCGTTTTGATTTTTAATCTCTCATCGGATTATGTTCTTTAAGAATTGATAAAAAAAAAGACATCTTCTCAGCACTTCCTTCGCTATCATTTCAACGAAGTCTATTTCTACTTTGTAATTTCAATTCTTGTCTTTGGAAGCCATGAAGTGAAGGAAATTGGAGACAGAAGATTGGAAATTAATAGCATGAAGGATTTTTTTTTACCACCACTCCGATATTTCGAAAATCAAGAATGGGCAAAATCTAATCTAATATTCGTAATATATATATATATATATATATATATATATATATATATATATATATATATATATATATATGGATATGGATATATGTTTAATATGGGTAAAGGTTTGTTACTTAGTTGACTGATTTTACCTTCAGCATCCTGACTACAACATTTCATATGGGGACCTGTTTCTCCACTCTTCAGGGTGTATATATGTATGTATAATTGAGTCTTTGGACAGCAATGCCTCTTTTATCTCATTAAAAATGACTGACAAGGAAAGTAAAATATGTCAGTCGTTTTTAAGGATTGATGCCCAAACACACACTTATTAAATTATTATCAATTATCTATCTATCTATCTATCTATCTATCTATCTATCTATCTATCTATCTGTTTCTGTTTCTCTCTCTCTCTATCTCTCTTTTTCTCTCTCTCTCTCTCTCTCTATATATATATATATATATATATATATATATATATATTTTACATTTTACTGACGCGTTTCGTCTTCCGACTTTTTCAAGGCAAAAATGAAATCGAAATGTTTTTGTTGTTATAGTTACATTAAAAATCCAAATTTAAAAAGATAGACGCTTCTGTCTAAGCCTTTTTTCCGGTTAATATAAATTACTTTTATAGTAAGGGATTATTATTTTTTTGTGGAGGGGGGGAATTGAACTATATATATATATATATATATATTTTCCTTACCCGGATGTATTTGCTTATAAGTGAATATAACGAACACAACTGGGATTGGAACTTAGCTCTTCGATTAATAATTCAGAGTCGTTATCGACCAAACTAGCCGCATATCCAAAATTACATCATCTGGTATTCCCTAGAGGTCATCCATTTAGGTACTGACCATGCTCGACGTTGCTTACCTTCGGTTATCGGAGTGAAACCTCTGCTTCAACGTGATTTAGCCGTATGCTCACCTATTATCCAAAGAGGACTTGAAGAATTTGACGCTCCCGGGAAATATTGAACGAAAAGTAGACTAAACTCATTAGTGTAAATGGATGGCAGAACAGGATCTGGGAGAGAGAGAGAGAGAGAGAGAGAGAGTAAAGAGAAAAACACTTAGAGCTGAAAAGCTGTGGAGAGTCATGACCAGTCATCGCCTGAAAAGACATGGAGCATAAAAGATGTTTGTATTCTTGAAATGAAGCTACAGGATATTAATCGACTGCTAACCGTCGTCGTTATAGCAAACATGATTTTAATAACTAAAGAATTTTCTGAAGACCTCAGCAATACCGGAATTTGCAACCTACTGTAGGAAAAATCTGTCTCGTCAGTCATGTATCGAAAGATACATGACCGCCCAAGCGTGAATCACGCATGACTGAATGAATATTTTTAAAGTGTAAAAATTTT